AGATTGTACCTACGCTCATGCAATCACCAACTGTGCCGTTAGGACATACTTTACTATCTTGCATTTCACAGAGATCGTCGTATAAGCGGTTGCGAACTAATTGGCGTCTTAGAGTCTTTGGTGGTATTTCATAATAGCCACCGATTGCTCTGAAACCCCTCTTTTCAAACAGCGTTTTATGACTGTACTAATCTCATTTCGAAAAGAAACGGGAGGAGAAACGAGATTTTCCTTTCGTTTGAGTTTTCGTTCGGAGGCGTACTGTTTCCTACAGACCTAAGCCGAGGGGTTACAAATTCGTTTATTAGAAGTAGCTATTTCCCGGAGCCAGTTTCACTGATTCTACTCTCTGCTGGTCCCCGGTATGTACATTGGCTGCTGTACGAAACATGTTTTTTACTAACGCATTTTCCGTATGTGAGGAATAAGAAGAGAGATAGCGAATCAGGATATTCTTAATACTTGGTTTTCGATGCCAATTCGTTACGCAACAGCTCTCGCTTAAGTTTATTGCACGTTTAAGGATGGAAGTCAATCATTTTTTGGTATCTCATGGGTGAATTTAATGTACTCGGACTGTTCATTCAACAATCTAAAGCAATTATCTAGCTCCCCTTGAGTGGAACAGATAACCAAACAATCATCCTCTATACCTACAGTGAAGTAATGACCGGAGATCATTCACTGGTGCTTCCACTTTCGACATAAAGGCAATAGTCAAGCTAGATGCCACCCGCTGTCCTATTGCCAACACTCTCATTTGAGCAAAGTACTTTCAAACCAAGCAAAGATAGAGCAGTTTAGGCACTCTTTTGATAGAACCATGAGCTGCTCAATCGCAAGCCATACAGGTTCGCAGCTCCCTAGTGTTGTATCAGAAGCTCATGTGTGGGTTACAATGCGGAGTCATTCTACACATTAGTATGTAGAGCATGACGTCGAATGACACTTCGAATGATTCTATTACGTATGCTTTGTTCTTTTCGCGTTACGTACACGGTCCAGAAACACCTGAGTGTTCGTCAGATGTGCTGGAATGTGTCTTAGCAGCTGGGATGTTATCAAACTTAAGAACCATGCTACCCTATCCGTAGGTCCGCCTACACAGCTGATGATAGATCTATTTTTGAATTAGATGGATCGTTAGACATTGGATAATCACTGGATACTAACTTATGCGCTTTTATAAGTAAGCATAAGACAGGACATGTTGGTGATCAGTAAAGATTTTTTTCAATTTAAAAAGCTTTAGGGCTTTCTCATGACTTTGAATCTCCACGATATTCTCCACCCACTCATATCCTTTTTGTGCACAGTTAACCCTAACGCGCGAAGAAAACTCCATCGTGGAGTACTCTCCTGCTCATACAGCGCACTATTAAGACCTCAAAAATAGAGCATAATTTCGATATCTGTTCTAAATTCTGCTGATGGTTTTTTATTAGATCATCATAATACTTGTGCGATTTGAATTTTCAAATTATGTCTGAAATATTAGTGAAGAAGCTTCTTCTAGCGTAAGAGACCCTTGAATATTTGTATATCGAAAACAACCTTAATCATTCGGAAAGTGTTATCTACTCTTTACACACTCGTACTAACTGAATGCAGTACGGTCAAAACATTGGTACTCCTTTTTGTGACTACAGAAACGCCATGCGATACGGCAGCGTTCAAGCTCGAAACATAAAAGCCACACTCGGGAGAGCAGCGCCGGTCTCTCTCGGAAGGATATAGAAAAGCATATTCGACACAACAGACTCCTAACCGCTGTTTTTGTCAGTCACTTGTTTGCAGAATTCTGGCTAATCGACCAATCTTTGAAATTATATAAAGGAGAGAGGACGTAGCGAGTGTTGTGATAGTCTCCGCAGCGCGGGGCTGGTTCCCCTCTAACACGATAAAAAGGATAAAAATAAAGCTCTCTGCGTTGATCAGTCCCTGCGGTATGCTTCATGCACTCGTCTTCAACTTTTAACTTTATTCGAGATTACTGAATGCATATCTGGCCTCTAAGATGACTCGCGGTGGCCTCGCGCTGTATCGCGCAGAGCTGCTTGTCCTCCCCAGACAAATCTAGGACCAGTTTGGCAGCAATTTACCGGCCTCAGAGTGATGGATGGCTTCGTGAGCTATGAAGACGAGATCGAACCATCGACCTAGTATGCGATGCAAAGCAGCTCTAACCACTGTGCTGCATTTGCTCCAACACAGTGCTAGACTTTTTGAGATTTCAAGGAGACGAGCTCAATCAGTATTCTATGACATTCAAGGAGATACGGAAAAAAGAATTGAACGCTGGAAAGCTGGGTTATGCCCAGTGAAAAAAGGAAAGCAGTGAGACGGGTCAAATAAAATTAAAGTTAGGTTTACAAATCATATAAAGGTTGCCATCCAAGATGTCAAAATTTCATAACAATATCACGATACACGCGATGAGAAGAAGACTCGAGATGTTGATATCATCACGCCAAAATTTTTTACGGCCCTTTTCGAGGACGTCATGTAAACGTTGGAATGAGCCAACACTAAAGTGAAAATCAATCGTAAGATTTCTTACAGTCTTCCCTTTGCTTAGGACACCGTTCTCATGGTACTGAGCACCAGTCAGGCAAAAGTAATGTTAACCTTACGACAACACCTTGGAAACACAAAAAATAACATATCTGAATTTCACAAAACGGCTTTTATGAGGAGCGAGTTGGTTTCAAATTCCTATTCATGCTCAACGAAATTCATATCCCGCAGCTCCATTTGAGTTTACCTAAGCCGAAAGGTCAATAAGATGAATTATTAAGCTGATTTATTAGGCAAAAGAAAGCTAGCGGTTTGGGAAGTATCTAAGCATTGCGGATGCAGTGGAATATAACGTAGAGCACGCGACTTTCTGCTCACTTTTTCGACTTTGCGATTGTCTCTGCCTTGACATCTACTGATAAACCAATATTACTAGACCTGGTCATCACGTAAGTAGGATGATAGACCACTTAAGCATATGAAGATGCAGTTGTAAGGTTGATGTCAGGCGTATTTCTCATTTCGACATTGGGAGGAAAGGTCACTTCTTCGACTTTCGCTGACGGCCTAAAATTAGAAGCGCTATTCGGTAGACCTTGTTGTTAAAAATCATGTATGCCAGAGGCGTGTGCTTCAAGGTCGACCAATTAGCAAGAGCACTTACGATTGGATTCCTCAAAATTCAAACATACATCAGAATGTCTATCTCTCATGCTCTGTTGTAGCCACAAAAAGCCCAGAAAAAAGATATGATGTTTATGGATTAACCACAATCGAAAAGATCCATTTTATTAATCGTGCACGCAGTAGAGAAATGAAATTCTTAAAGGTCTCCGTTCATTCATTCCGCGATCAGCAGGGTGAAATCCGCACAAACTAGCTCTCGGAACTTCGCTGACTCAGCACAGTGATTTCTTGAAAGTGTAGGAAGGATAATGTAGCATAACAGATCTTGCCCAGCAATCAATCAAAGCGACACAGTACGTCTAAACATGGAACCACTAAACGCGGAACTGTTACAACACGGAACTGTCTATTCAGCTAAAACCATCGTCTAAACATCACATGGGACGACGATTTTCGACTTATTCTTCCCGAACAAAATAATATTTGACACTTTCCATTACTGTAAATTGTTCATAATTTTTTAGAATCAGAGGAACATGTGCATTCTGTCACTTACTACTAAACTACGACTACCACGGTGAAATATATGTTTCCTAGAGCAATTGTCAATTCATTATAGGTGCAGCTGTTTGTGGATTGTTCTTCAGTGTCCATTCCATTGTATGCTGCGTAGAATTCTGAGAAATGGAGAACGAGTGCTCCCATTACCTAGTGACCAAAATGTCGAAATCGAATTGAATGCACCTTATCAATTCGATAAAAAAATATTCACATCAAAGCAATGTGCTGGTAAATAAAAATACGGAATATGTGGTATTGCTCGCCTATCACAGGAAATCAGCGATTTACACCTCTCAGATGATTTTTCCGAAATATTCGCAGAATTCCGATTGATCATCAAGTAAGTTGTAAGTGCTACGCAAACGAATGACTCTTCACTATACGAAATATACAGTGAAGTGCACGTCGCGAAAATGACGCTAGAAATGTTGGCGTTTCATGAACATTCACCTTGATGAAAAACACAGAACGTTAGAAAAGTTGAGCAAAGAAGCTTTGACTCAGAATCATCTCACACGCAGTCTTAACAAGCACGATTTTCCTAAACACCAGATGTATAAAAAATTTTATCAAAATGTGGAATTCCTTGTCTCACGGCAAGGTCTGACCCCTTTGTGCAGGCATTTTGCCACGACGAATAATTTCTCTTTTGCTTCCTTGTATTGGTGAATTCTTGGTCACATTTCATCCCTCCTTGTGTCTCTGAGCCTACTCAGTAAAATCTCGTAGTTTTTTGTTGCGATTTGGGCCTCTAACATGTTGCCAAAGACATTTCATAGCAGATGTTATGTTTCCTTTTGTCAATCGATGTGCTTTCTTTACAGATTTTGAGCAAATCTTACTTGTTATAGCTGTTTTGTAACTTGTAAATTTTCTAATCTGGGGAAAGCCAGAATTATATGTCGCAAACATTATAAATGAGATGGTGGGTTTCCAATTTAAACTAGGGCGCCTGATAGCTTGACGTATTCACTAAAATTTTCTCTTACGTAATTTCCCTCACGTACCTTGTTTTCTTTGGGAATATATACTTTGCTTCATTGGCACATTTTTCTTTGCGTCAAGAAACCTCTATGAAAAATTGTTTCAAAGAATTATTTTCTGAATTAGGCAGGTTGGGATCCCCCTAACTAAAGCTTTTGGAAAAGTAGAAGACGTCCGACATCGACGTCATTCACGTATAACTGCTGAGTGCCAACCCGCTCCTGTCTTGTTAACGTTTCGATATAAAGAATGGAAAATTTTTTTTCATCTTAGTTTAGACTTAATAATGTAGAGTTGTCTGCAAAGACATTTGCGTCAACCGGGATTCGAATCCGGATCTCACTCTTTCCGGCACTGCGCGCTGAGCAGTTGCACTACTGACGCTCGTTTTGCACATCGCTCTTTCTACGCTACATCACGTTATCTGTCAACAGCTAACCGTCAACGGTCTGGCGGCTCAACTATCGACACTGAACCCACTAGAGTGACATTGGGTTCGGATACTGGCTGACGCAAGTGTTTTTGCACACACTATACATTACTGGGTTCATTGTAAGATCGCACCACCGCAAGGCGCGGTCGGAATAAATGAATTCCGAATGATTAGCTTAGACTGTTTGCTCAGACATTTAGGAGACAAAATGCAATTCTCACTAGTCCGGCCAAACTTCCAATAAATCGCGTCATAATTGCTCTTCTAGCTGCAATCACGGTGGTAATGGGATGTGGAGTGACGCCTACAGGTTAAGGCAAGGTGAACAGAAGATTCCATGCACTAGACATATTTAAAGTCCTACAAGCAAGGCTACCAATTTTGGTGAGAATGTATTCATCTAAAACATGTTTGTTGTTTGAGAACTATTTCACTCCGAGACCATCGATTGAAGCTTGGATGAGAATAGAAGGAAAATCCCAAAAACTGTTCAAATCGTAGTCTAGGTTTTAATTGATCCCTACAAAAACTACGAAGTTTTGTTGCAGGGAGCACTCGGACTTTTAATGTCACTGGCTTCACAACTCTACCTGTCGCCATGGTTTACACTGAAATACTCGAAGTTTTTGCTTAAGTTGCTGGCATTTCAACTAGCAAGCTGCAAGCTCAGACATTTGTAGAACAGCTTGTAATGGAAACGGTGAGTGAGTTACTTCTAAAATAAACTCTTGTTTGTTGCAAATATTGAGGAAGCACAGCACACGGGCCGTTAATGTACAGCAATATTTCAACCACTCACTTCTTCCTTAGCCTGCATCTCTTCTAACAAGTTGACAGAAGCAATATCAGGTAAACTCTATTAACAAGTGAAAGACTTTGTTTTGAGGTCATGGTTATACTTGAAAGCCAAGGACGTAGTGCACTCCTACTTGATGAGGTAATCTCGGCCATTTTGAGTCAACTCGCTGTTACCGTCACTTACGAACCACTTCTATGCCAGAAATCAACCTTACTCTAGCGGCCTCCAAACATATGAGTTGGTTTCCTACATTATATATCTATTTCAGATCCTGAGCAAAAATTCAATGCTTTATTCTATTTGACCCGTCTCGCCAATTTTTTTTACCGCGTGAGTCCCAATACTTCTAGCATTCGATCCGTTTCTCATGAAACGATTGCTTGAAAATTTCATCTTCTTCACGAACGTCGCAAAGCTGGTCGAGCAGATCTCATTGCAATTTCAAGGGTAGGTAGGCTAGGTCGCTCTATGAGACGTTCATTGACCGATTACCAAAGATTGCTGGGGGGATCAACCACCCCCGGTCATACTGACTACTCGGACACCGCCCCCCTCTCGCCTCCATTAGAAATTTAGCAGGAATCACAAAATTAGAACCGTGTTGATTGTTTTCCGAAAAACAAACAGTTTCGCTAAAATCAATGAAAGTGTCCTGTAATCTGCAAACGGCTCATCATAGTGGAACTATTATTGAAACCTCCAAGATAGTTTAAAATATAACGAGTTTTTAATGAGTTTTTCTAAGATTGACATGGTTATCGATGTGTCATCTGATGGTGTGCAGTATTATGAAAAAGAAAAGAAAATCAGTGTTCAAAACTCTTTCGGCTCTATCCAATATCTCATTGTGATACAAGGCGTTTTTCAAGAAATAGTAGCTTCTTACAGTTGAGGAGGCGTTGAGAGAGAACTACATCATTGCTGGTGGCAATACGGTGGCAGGAATTTGCAGAACACATAATGGAGTGATGAGGTGTGAGCCAGCTATGGTGAGTATAGGTGCCATTCCCACGCAACCACCTGTCAGTATCGGGAACTCTTTCGGTCTGAATAGCTTATTTTTGTATTCAACAATGTTTCCTAGAGAAATATATCTGTGCAGACCACAAACATCATCATGGCTAATTGGTCGAGACAGATGTGGCAAAATGTAGTTCATAGAGCGGTACGAATGCTGGCATCGCGTTCGTTTATATAGCACTTCTGAGCGGCAGTTGCCACTATCAGCTGAAACTGAAATTGGACTGTGATGTGTTTGAGGCAAATATTTTTATTTGACTGATATTTGTTGTAGCAATGACAACAGCAATAAACTGACAAAGGATATGGGTGTTCAATAGTCAGAGTAACGCAGTAAATCACATAAAAGTATATAGTTCGATGATTTTTTTTTTCAGTGTCTTCTTGATAAGTAGCAGAGGATTTTGCAAATGATTAACCACAAGAAGAATGTAATGGAACATTTTCTGCCGTTAGTGAAACGTAATAAGAAGATTTTTCATGAACCAAGCACAGTAATAGAATCAACATTTTGCACGTTGTCGAGTGATTGCAGAACATAATTATTAGGTGTTCTTAGAAGTTTGGCACAAAGCAATAAGCAATAAATTCTAATAATACGCATAAATTACTGGTTGTCATCTGGATAGACCGAATCTCAACTATTCTGCTGCTAAGACATTTACGAAGCGCTAAGTGTATATATATATATATATATATATATATATATACATGTATATATACATGTATATATACATTATTATAGTCATTCATTTTTATGTATCTTTTCATAAAAATATGAACATATATAAATATGAAAATATATATAGCGCTGTTAGAGCCAAATGAATGCCAAGCTTTGCAGTAGTTTGTTCATCGCTTGAACTTCACAGTGGATTCAATTGCCACTGTGAAACAAAAAAAAAAATTTGCACCTGTAGAACGATAAAACGGATTCAGCGAAATACTGATTCCATTACTAGGACGAGTACGGAGAGGCTGCTAAAATCTCAGGGCCGAACTAGGCTGCCAAGATCGAAACGGACTAAAATGACGATCTGTACCTACAACGCAAGAACCCTTGCTCAACAATCCGCTGTAGAAGATCTGTTGATTCAAGCAAGAAGAATAAGGTACGACGTCATTGGCCTGGCTGAGACGAGAAGGCGCCATCCTTTTCACGCTGTCTATGACACCGGAGAAGAACTGTTCCTTGGAACATGCGATCGCAGAGGTGTCGGTGGCGTTGGCGTCCTCGTCAAATCGAATTTGACCGTGAACATTGATTCGTTCGAACAACTAACAACCCGCATCGGACGATTACGGTTGAAACGATGTGGTTCTATGCCGGCTTTGACCATCTTCGTTGCTTACGCACCAACATCAAGCTATGACGAAGACGAAGTCGAAGCGTTCTATATGGACCTCGAAAAATTCTTCAGAGAAGATCATACATTCTTCAAGGTCATTGTCGGAGATTTTAACGCAAAAATTGGACCTAGAAGAACGTCTGAAGAACGTCACATAGGGACCCACGGACTAGAATGGAATGAACAGGGTGAGAGGCTATCCGAGTTTATCATGACGACCCAAACCATCCATGGTAACTCGCAATTCCAAAAGCCTCTCTCTCAGCGATGGACGTGGGAGTCTCCCAATGGAGAGTACCATAACGAAATAGATCACATCATAGTAAATCGAAGGTTTTGCCTGACCGACGTCGCTGTTGTTCCCAAGTTCTACACGGGATCAGACCATCGCCTCCTTCGCGCAACGTTCCGATTTTCGAGGAGAGGAGAGAAAGCCGCTAAATTCAAACAACGAAGTCCCAGAACTACCATAAACTGGGATGTATTCAAATCATTAGTCGGCTCTTGGGAAGATACCGTTGTCGACAACATCGACGAAGAATACGATCGACTCGTTGAATATCTTCACGTTAGCGCTAAAAAAGCCGAGAGTCCTAAGGTCACGAAGAGACGCTTGTCTCCGCAGACACTCGAGCTGATACGTCAACGTGGAATCGCACGAGCCGCAGGCAACCGAAACCTTACGTCCGAACTTGCGAAACGATGCAGAGAAGCGATAAAAGAAGACCTTAAAGAGAGAAGAGCAGCAGTTATGGCAGAAGCTGCAGAAGCTGGGAAGAGCATTCGCAAAGCCCAGCGAGGCTTCGCCAACTATAAGACCAAGATGATTGCACTCCGATACCCTGACGGGACACTTACAGCTTCCAGAAGGGCTATGGAGAAAATCATCCACCAATACTACTCGGATCTCTTCGCTAGCCATGTTCTCTTACCGTCATATAAATTGAAAGAGGACGAATATGTCGTTCCACCGGTCCTTCCTTCCGAAATCCGACATGCTATATCGTCGGTGAAAAACAGAACAACACCCGGTCCAGACAGGATTAGACCAGAACACCTGAAGAACCTGCCGCCAGTTCTCATCAACACCCTGGCTCGGCTCTTCACTCGCTACTGTCAGAATGCAAGGTCCCTATTCAATGGAAAACCAGCAAGACCGTATTGTTGTTCAAAAAGGGAGACCTTCACGACATAGGCAATTATCGCCCAATCTGCTTGCTGTCCGTTGTCTATAAACTCTTTACTCGAGTCATCCTAAACAGGATTGACAGAACACTGGACGAAGGACAGCCATGCGAACAAGCAGGGTTCCGAAAAGGATTTAGTACCATGGACCACATCCACACGATTACAAGACTCATCGAAGTTTCACGAGAGTACAAACAACCACTCTGTCTCACTTTCATCGATCTGAAGAAAGCCTTTGATTCAGTGGAAACAGAAGCGGTTATAGAGGCTCTGGATAACCAGGGCGTCCCTACTCGGTACATAATGATCCTTCGTGAGCTTTATAAAGATTTTACGACCAGAATATCTCCATTCTACAACAATATCACCATTGACGTAAGAAGAGGGGTTCGACAAGGCGATACAATTTCGCCAAAACTATTCACTGCCACCCTACAAAACGTCATGCGAACATTAGAATGGGACGAAATGGGAATGAAAATTGACGGTCGACAATTAAAACATCTTCGCTTTGCTGACGATATCGTTCTCATAACACCAAACATCAGCCAAGCGGAAAGGATGTTGACCGGTTTCGATAACGCCTGTGGAAAGA